ACATACAGTGGGTACGGAAAGTATTCAGACCCCCTTAAATTTTTCACTCTTTGTTATATTGCAGCCATATGCTAAAATCATTTAAGTTCATTTTTTTCCTCATTAATGTACACACAGCACCCCATATTGACAGAAAAACACAATTTTTGACATTTTTGCAAATTTATTAAAAAAGAAAAACTGAAATATTTTCCAAAGAGTGGAAAATTTAAGGGGGTCTGAATACTTTCCATACCCACTGTAAGACCTATCCAATCTGAATTTAAGACATGTTAATACTTTTTAAGGCCTTTTATTAGTAAAACTGTATTTAAGACATTTTAAGACTTTAAGGGTCTGCGGCCACCTGCAACAGGGAAACCCTGATAAATTCTCAAGATTATATTTTTCTATGCACCTGCTAATTTCAGACGCTGGTTTTTAAATACTGAATAGTGTGACTCTACCTGTATCGTGCTGTAGTCTTGTGATGCACATGCACCCAGGACTGCTGCTCCTATTAACACAGCCTCCATCTGGTCTGGCAACACTACAGCCAATCCTGAATGTGATATTAGAAAAAGCTGAATTAGCTAAAGCCTCCTTGGAGATTATATTTGTGTACTGGTGGGAATTCCTGTAGAAGTAGTAGTGATTCTTTATTATTATAATACCTGTGTGACCTGTTTCTTTAGCTAACATGTCATGTACAGTGCCTTGCGAAAGTATTCGGCCCCCTTGAACTTTGCGACCTTTTGCCACATTTCAGGCTTCAAACATAAAGATATAAAACTGTAATTTTTTGTGAAGAATCAACAACAAGTGGGACACAATCATGAAGTGGAACGAAATTTATTGGATATTTCAAACGTTTTTAACAAATAAAAAACTGAAAAATTGGCCGTGCAAAATTATTCAGCCCCCTTAAGTTAATACTTTGTAGCGCCACCTTTTGCTGCGATTACAGCTGTAAGTCACTTGGGGTATGTCTCTATCAGTTTTGCACATCAAGAGACTGAAATTTTTGCCCATTCCGCCTTGCAAAACAGCTCGAGCTCAGTGAGGTTGGATAGAGAGCGTTTGTGAACAGCAGTTTTCAGTTCTTCCCACAGATTCTCGATTGGATTCAGGTCTGGACTTTGACTTGGCCATTCTAACACCTGGATATGTTTATTTGTGAACCATTCCAATGTAGATTTTGCTTTATGTTTTGGATCATTGTCTTGTTGGAAGACAAATCTCCGTCCCAGTCTCAGGTCTTTTGCAGACACCATCAGGTTTCCTTCCAGAATGGTCCTGTATTTGGCTCCATCCATCTTCCCATCAATTTTAACCATCTTCCCTGTCCCTGCTGAAGAAAAGCAGGCCCAAACCAGGATGCTGCCACCACCATGTTTGACAGTGGGGATGGTGTGTTCAGGGTGATGAGCTGTGTTGCTTTTACGCCAAACATAACATTTTGCATTGTTGCCAAAAAGTTCGATTTTGGTTTCATCTGACCAGAGCACCTTCTTCCACATGTTTGGTGCGTCTCCCAGGTGGCTTGTGGCAAACTTTAAACGACACTTTTTATGGATATCTTTAAGAAATGGCTTTCTTCTTGCCACTCTTCCATAAAGGCCAGATTTGTGCAGTATACGACTGATTGTTGTCCTATGGACAGAGTCTCCCACCTCAGCTGTAGATCTCTGCAGTTCATCCAGAGTGATCATGGGCCTCTTGGCTGCATCTCTGATCAGTCTTCTCCTTGTATGAGCTGAAAGTTTAGAGGGACGGCCAGGTCTTGGTAGATTTGCAGTGGTCTGATACTCCTTCCATTTCAATATTATCGCTTGCACAGTGCTCCTTGGGATGTTTAAAGCTTGGGAAATCTTTTTGTATCTTAGCACTTTATACCTGTAGCATTGGCGTGAATCTGTACATACAGAGGGTTTTTGCTCAAGCCTCCACACAGGAAGAGGGTTCTGATGTCATGTCCTGCCTCTTTCATAGCCTCCAGAATATGACGCGTACCAAACTGAAGCCAGAGAGGAAAACACAAAGGGAATTAGGTTATGAGGAACCAAATACATTTTTGCTTCATCCGTATCTTCCTTTAGGTGCTAGCCTGCCAGACCGAGGCTCCAGAGGAAGTCAACTGAGACTTTCAAAGAACTAAAACACAGCAGACTCACAGCAAGGGCTTGTATGGTGGCTAAATAGAGCAGGGCCAAGTCATCCAAGGTTTGGGAAAGTGACAATCCAACCACCTGCAGAACAGTAATGAGTCAACATCATTCATGTAAAATGCCTGAAAAGGCAACAGAAAAGTAGGAAGGCAACGCTCTCAATGAGGGGCTAGTTTCTCAAATCACCAGTCCTTCAGTCAAAACAATGTTTGCCAGCTTCCTGGTTTCCTGCTTCCTGGAACTGCAGATGGCCCAGCAGCTGATTAGCTTTCTGAACACAGAAATCTTTTCAGGGGCTTAACAGTTCAAATCTTAAACCGTAATACATTTTTTATTTTACAATAAGGATAGAAAAATATCTAAAACATTTGTGAGGTTTTAGTAGAGATTATAAATTGTCAGCAGTTAAAAAAACAAAACAAAACAAACAAAACTAAACTAAAGGCAATATCTGCAAACCAAGGAAAGTGATTTTGTTATGCAGCAGTGCCCTGTGAAGTTAGCTGGTTAAAGCGGCCACTTGCTAATTGTATTATGAATTAATTTGTTTCAAATAGTAGTTCAACATTTTGTGAAGTTCAGTTATTTCTTTTATTTTCAAGATTTAGATGAGAACATCCAAATCACTGTCATGCCAGTATGGAGCTGGTGTTAGGAGGCAACGAGCCTAGCAAGTGGGAAAACAGTGAGACTGACTCTGAGCAAAATTCAAAAATATGCTTAACAGCATCCCATTTGTTAGATCCAAGCACAAACAGTGTATGTGTCAACACAAACAAATGTTTAAAAAAAGGGCTGTTTCCTCCCACCTCCAATCTTTATGCTAAGCTAGGCTAATCTGCTTCCATCTTCAGCTCTGTACTTAACATGCACATATGAGAGTGGTATCAATCTTCTTATGTACAGTATCTCCCTAACTATTCACATTATTTATAATCTTTAATTATTATTGTTCTGCCTTTACCAATATATAGCTAAACTCTTAAGCATACAAAAAGACTATAAAAGGATTTCATGTACTATATGACCATTCTACCTCCCAGTTCCCTCACCATGCCCTTCAAGGTAGAATCAGCCAGGGGAGACCTGTTCCCATGAAAGTCTGGCCACACATGAAGACTGGAGGCCAGCAGGTCAACAGCAGAATGGGAGGGAGACATTAAACTCAAGTGGTTGTTCAGGTAGCTGTAGATGTTCTCGCCTGCAAAAGGAAATCTGGGAAAAGAAAAGTAAACTAATTTAAAAAATAGTCAAGCTGTACAGAATACACAACTTCACTATACATAGCTGATCTTAATAAACTTTATTATATGTCAGTTGAACAAGGATGACAGCTGGGGAATGGAAATACAAGACTAAAGATCGTAAGTGGACCTCTGCTGTGCTTGCTCCTGGAGTTGGGTGTAGGCAGTGTGGCCGGTAACCATGTGGTCAATCTGAGGGAGGAGAGAATAGAGATGTCACTGATGAAACAGCTCACAGCAAAAGGGCTGCAACTGCTTATGATTTTTATCATTAATATATCAGTGAATTTCAAATGCTGGTTAATCATTTGATCTATAAAATGTGAAAAACACTTTACAAATTCAAGTGTCCTCTCTGTCCACCTCGCATGCTTTCCTGCCTCTCTCATGTTTTTCTGTTACTGGGCAACATAACATGGATCAGTAAAATCATGTATAAAGTTTGACAGTGGACTGACCAGCCTCCCTGTAGCGCTCTGCCCTCCCTCATTGAGCCACATGCCAGGCACCATGGCAGACAGGCAGGGTCCCCACACTCCTGGCACAAACAGAGGCTGCTCGCTGATCTGATGCACACAAGGGTGAAACTTTAAATCTTTTAGTCTCCGCACAGAAAGGTGTGAGAATCGAGGAGGCTGCTTGGAGGAGTTATGGGTGAGGATACATGAGAGCAGAAGTTTTTGATGGACAAACATGCCCCTTTATTGGAGATCAGCTGGTGACTGGATGCTTCACATGAAGGAACAGAGAAAAGGACAACTCATGTCTGCAAAATACGTTTCCTCCATTTCTCTATCCTTAAATCTTACGTGGGAGGGAGGGTCTAAGACACAAGATAAAATGTCAGTGAGTGAAAAAGCAGAATGCGATTAGTTAGAGTCAAAGGCCCACGTAAACATAAGTGTTGCTTTCCAACAATGGAGAAAGCTCCAGGATTTGAAAGACACAAGGACAGATTTGGTTGCTCTTTTTTTGCTGGACTGGTGAGTAAACTGCTCCACTGAAAATCATTAGGGTCAATATGATGTTGTTCAATTATTTATAATCTTTGTGATACATTAGCAAATTACAGCTGCTTCGCTAGTGAGCAAGTACCTACAGTACATATGTCACATTAGCCTGTTTGCTAAATTACTTTTCTACAGACATTTAGGTCACATTTTGTGCCCCAGTGGCTAGTACCATTGCCATGGTAATGCACATACATCAATACTATGATGGTTACACAACCCTGAATGAAGGGAGGTGGATACAACCAGAATCATGGACTATCCCTTTAACCTAATCAGGACGTGCCAACATTGACTGCACTAATGACGCTTACAACTACTGTGCTGTGCAGACACAATATTTTAAGTCAGCATACAAATGCACTGAAAATATAAAATGTGTAAGTATAAATTACATAAGAGAGGAAAAAATTAATTGGCATTATGAGTAAAAATGATTTATCAGACTACTTTTAATGGAATGTGGGCCTGAATATTGGTATTAGCTAAGTTTGACATCACCTCAAAGCAGTTCAGCCTTAGTTTAGACACAGATGCTATGAGTATATGATTAATAATAGGATGTGTTGCATTAGTCATGGAATGACAGTTTCAGAAATGAGTGCGAGTGTCAGAAAGGTCAGTGTGGAGTTCACATCGTATCCATGTTTTTAATACCACATACAGTATGCGTAGTGTTGGCATAAGTTTTGCTGACATGCAGAATGGGAAATGTTGCTATTATTTAAAAA